TATATATATATGTATGTATATATATTACAAGCACACACATACACCAAAATGCAGGAAATCACTTTATTCAAACATTTCTGGGGGAGGACCCCCTGACACCCCTGCCCCCATCCCCTATTTGCATTCCGGCATAGATCACATTACAAATTAACCCTGTTACTTGGTTTGACTACTGCTGTTATGATTCTGTTAATTCATTTATTTATTTTTTTGTAGTTTTGTGTAATAATTGGAAAAAAATAGCAACAGAAGAGTGGCAATGTTCATCAAGTGAATATAAGTTTTAAAGTGGTTTTTGATACTGTTATATTTCTCAAAACTGTAATTTTTGAACGTTGAAATTAAATATTTTGTTAATTAAGTGTGTCTTGAATGAAAAATACCCCATGTTTAAAAGTATAAATATTGTATTAACACTATTAAAGAACAGGTCTTACGTATTTATGTTACACAAATATTTCCATTGCATTAAAGAGACAAATTGAAGAACATTATTTAATAAACATGAGGGTTTTGAGGGGGTCCCTGAAACTTTGTGTCCCTGAACCCAAAAGGTTTGAGAACCCCTGGTCTAGAGTGTAATGTTTCTAAATGTATTAGTATGTCCCCCATAACCCCAAGAGATATTCATGTAAAATGCAACAAAGACATTAAACTAAGTTTTATTGAATAGAATTACAGATGTTTCTATCAGAAAACATCATGATGGCTAATGATCATCAATACATCACCTTCATTTTCATGCATTAAAGAAGCTTTTTATCCTGTTTGAAATATTTGCAAAGATTTAGAAGTTCCATCTCACCTTTAAGATAAAATGTCTTATGGAGGTCAAACACATAAATATGCAACCTGATTTAAAAACTGCCTCTAGTGTCAACAACACCCATCAAGCCCATCCAGGGCTGGTTAATTGCTGGTTTCTGTCACTCAGGAGTAATGTTCAGTGAACGTCTGGAGCATAATGATACCACTTTCCTTTCAAACCACCCCCCTGCTTGTCACAACTGGCCCACAAAAACACACGAGTATAAGTTCTGTACTACATTTCCACCTCCTTCATGTAAATATCTTATAACAAAGACATTTTAAACAATTAAATCTGTCTGTTTTATATTCCTCAGACGAGGATTTTTTTCTGTCTCCAAGCTGAACAGGCTGTTTCCTTTTGGTTGCTCCTGGTCTTTTTGTCCACACGTCCAAGCACAGTCCTCATACTCTGCTCACACGAGGCTATTGATCCGAGTCACTGCAAGTAATTGTAAGTGCCGTGCTGTGATCAATTGTGCCTGTGCTAACTTTTACTGTAAGTCACTGCAGCAGGCAGTCCCGCCGAGGAGAGAAGCACAGCCTGCACAGTCTGGTTAGAGCAACAGTCGAGCTAATATGCAATAAGTGAACAATGCACACTTGGGTCCCCAGAGACACAAAATAATAGGGATAAATTAATATACTGTACAAACGTAAAAAGTCATCATTCAGAAGCTTTGATTAAAATGTTTACACATTTTTGGTCCACTTTTTTTTTAGTTTATTTCTTTTTTTTTAAGAGAGAAAGGAATATTGATAAAGTTCCTAGTTAATAACTTGTTTTTTATGCCTGTACTCTATAAAACATTTAAAACTGTATGGTAAAAAAAAGGATTTAAGATAAATAGGCATGTTTTTGAAGTTTGTGGTTTAGTTCATCTCTTACTTTTTGTCTAGAAGTAAATAATCTGATGATATGCTTTTTGTCTCTGCGTCTGTCTCCACAGGAGAGATGACTAAGTGTAATTTGCTTCGTTCAAAAGAACAAACAAGCACCGTTCATTAAAAAGAACCTGTGCTCTCGCTACACATGTTGAGACGGATAAGACAGACGAGTCTGCAAATATCGTACTTGCCGACGTAAACATTGCACCGCCGTATGAGTCGCATCAGTCCAAATATGTCTAATAAAGTGGGGAAAAAAACATAAATACGTCGCTTTGCCATATAAGTTGCATCTATTTTGTGTTACCACTGACAACCCGGAAATATGGGCCAGTGTTGTGCCAAAAATCAATTGGCTGCCAAATGGTAGCTGCGGAAACGTGCAAAGGAGGACTTTAATAATAACTTAACAAGATTAACACTTAAAAACAATTATTTGTTTGCTTGACATTATAGTAAAGGTGTGTCTCAGTTGAACTTTTCCTTAATAAATGCACTTTCATGGTCAAACCTGGGCGGCGCGGCGAAACGCAGCTGATTTGACGTTTGCTCCAGGTGTTCCGCAGCAAGAAGAATGTGGCTTGGTACAGAAAGTCAAGAGTCTCATTAATAGCCACTTTTACCTACAATGAGACACTTGGCTTGCCATATTACTCAAGGGCCCTCTAGTGGCTGAAAATGGTAGTGTTCAGTATTTTCCAACATCAATGAATGAAATTGTCAGATCTCAGCCAAAAATTTGGTTATAAATATGGGGAAAAACAAATACATTGCTTCGCTGTATATGTTGCAGTCATGCTAATTTATGCAAAAAAACTGTGACTTATACAGCAAAAAGTACAGTAGTTACTGAAATCATGATGTTCCTGAAAAGTTGCATCGTCTTTCTTGCATTTTAAATAAGTCAGAGACCGATTGCGTGTGTGTATATGTGTTTGAGTGTGTAATTGTTTCTTTCAGATTGAGTAGGTGTGTGTCTTTGTGTGTGTGTGTGTTCATTTGGAGGAGTGCTCCATAGCAACAGGCAGCATATCGTCTTCAGATATCTTTTTTCTCACACACTGTGTGCTATGACCTTTCCGCTGACAGTGCTCTGTCTTTGCATGGAGGCATCTGCATGTGTGAAAGTGTGTGCATCGTGTAGCTCATTGTGTGGACCATTTGACCTTTCATAGTGTACATTCATTAACAGCTGCATAATATCTCATTTGGAACCAGTTAGTGTTAACACGAGCAAGTGGTTAAGTCTTTCTACCAGCAGTATCAGTAAACTGTTGTCCTTTTAGCAGCTTTTTTGGTTTTCTTAAACTAGAAATCACAGCTGTGTAATCCTGATAATGACCTGATTTACTCTGAGCAGGTGATGGCTTCTTATTTTTAGACTATAACCCTTAGAAAAATCAAAAGAGACATCTTTAATATGTATCTTGACACGCTTGTCGAGCCATGTTAATGTCAGCGTCGGGCTAATAACTGGCTGTGTATTTCATATCCGGGCATGGCGGACAGGGCACTTTAGAAATCAATTTTCTTTTTCTCCATCAACATGTTCAGAAACTGGCCTGTTGCCAGATGGGATGTAATAAGAGATGGAAAGCCCAATATTTTGGATGTGTTGCTCAGTTAGAGAAACATAGTAAAGTTATTAGAGTATTTTTCCCACAGCCTAATTAAGTGATTTGTCAATAAAGTCTCACTCATACTGAAGGAATGCACATTGAAGCGGCATGGATAGAAACTTCATACAGAATAGTCCTGTAGGTTACATGCTGCAAGGTTATGCCCTCTTTAGATCAGTAGTTTGTGTTGATGTGTGCATTTGTCTGTGTGATCGAAACTCTGGGTGGCATTGGGTGTGTTGTCATTTTTATGTTCCTGTTTGTAGAGGCTTAACTTGGAAACAACGACAGGTACTGAACACAGTTGGAGACAATGTTTTTCTGCAGTTTCATGGCTTCTTGCTTATTTTTTTGCTTTTTTCAAATTTTAAACAGGCAAACGGTGCTTTTTGGATAAAAAAAAAGTTTATGAAAGTCCTGTCATGTTATAAGCATGATTGTGAATTTAAGGGGGTAGGATTCAGTGTTTTCATCATCATTAGTGCTTTGTCAGTGTTTGGTTTCCTGTTTTGACTTTTGTTTTCACTTTTTGTGAATGTGAACATGATTGACATATTTCACTCTGTGTAATGAATAATAAATGTATCACTTTCTAAAATTGTTGACAAAAATTGAAATTTTTTCACAATATTCTATTTTTTTAGATGCACTTGTTTGCCTCATATAAATGTCAGTGTGTTAACTTATAAAAACAGTATCCACCTATAGAATCTATTGCTTTAATTTTCCAAAGTAATATAATTGTGCTGAATATTCAGAACAAATAAAACAAAGAAAATGAATTAAATAGAACATGAAATGTCCCTCATTTTGTCTAACATGAAATAAACAGAAGTTGATGATGTTACTTGACCATCTTAAAAGACAGGCTATTAAAACTAGAGAAATTGTATTTCCTGCAACAATGCAGTGTGAATGCTTATTTCTGAAGAACTTGCTGAAATTAACCAAAAACATGCTGAAATGTAGCTGAACTGAAAGAGGTTAGCAGAAGAAAACAGAAAGAACACATATTTACTGAATTTGGTTTAAATAAGCAGAAACTAGCACAAAAATAATTAAATTAGCTAAAAAAAAATGGCTGAAATTAGCAACAACAACAAAACAAAAAA